ATGCCCATACCCTCAAGGTGGTTTGTGTCATACTACGTAACATTCATTTATACTTAAATAAATATTATTTATTGATTCTACTGATAAGATAATATTTTCAATTTTTAAAACTGCTTTTGATTAAATTATTGTATTCTGATATTGTGAGAATGGGTGGGTGTCGGTGTGAGTTAGTGAATGATAAATCCATATTCACCTACACACAAACCCAGACACACACCTCACACCAACTCTCAATGCATTTCAGATTGGAGAATATTTGTATATTGAAATTACACAAGGATACAAGTTAAATGATCCTATTTTTTTGTGAACGATCAATAAAATCTATTCAATCTAATACACATAGTATTCGAAAAAAGAATAAATAATAATTAATATTAATTTCATTGTTCGATAAATTAGTAGTTTATTCATTATCAGAATTATAATTAAAACCAGCAGTACTCGTCGTTATAGGAAAATAGTTTATAAAATTCTTCTTATGAATCTTTCACTCGAAGAGAACAAATAAGTACATGCAAAGTTCACATCTCATTATTAAAATCCAAATTGAATACTAAATTCGTTGATTCTATAATCCTTAGCGATAGAAATCTTTATATTCAGAATTTAAGGTTAAACAAGTACATAGTTACTGAGATACGAGATACCTTTAAGCAAAGTCTGAATTAAAAAAAACTAAACTAAACAAGATACAGTGTAGTTTCTATCGCTACCACACATCATATCAAATTATTCAAAGTTTAAAAATTCATGATAAAGCATGTTGAGTTTTGAACATTTCACTCGAATAAGCAAGAAATTATATGTCTGCTATTCCATTCTTTTCGATTATGATTAATTGAGTGAAACTTGAATGCCATCTAGTTCAGCAGAAGTTACACTATCATATAGTAAAAATCTCATATGTTAACAAATAAAATAGAACAAGACGTGACTTTTATTACTACTATATTAATAAAATATCTATGATTAATAATATAAAATATTTTGAAATACATTTAGATGTGATGATTAAACAATTTAAAGGAGTATATAGTTTGCACACAATCTAGATTAATATTATATATTGAAGAGAAAAAAGACGAAATAATAGTTTTTCTTATATAAATATTGTAGCCAAGACAAGAAGTATATTCATAAACAAAATAAAATATTGTTGATAATTTAAATGATTTGTTGATGCTGAACCAGCAGATTGTGATGATGTTGAAGTAACAGGTTGATTTCCACCAACTAGAGTAAAGTTAGCTGCCAGATTACCAACTTTTACTTCAAATAGTCCAGCTTCAGTTTGTCGAGTTAAATCAATTCCAATAAATGATAAATCATGACGACTAAGAGTAAATCGAACTGATTTTTGTTCACTCGGTGCAAATGATAATTTTTCATAACCTTTTAATTCTTTATTTGGTGGTGTAATTGTTCGATAAATATCAGAAACATATAAAAGTACTGAATGATCACCTTGTCTTGAACCATTATTACGTACATTTAATGTAATAACTATTTGATCATCCCAATTAATTCTCGATGGAACACTTAAATCTGAATAACTAAATGTTGTATAACTTAAACCATGTCCGAATTCATATTCCACATCGATAGCGTTACCAATTTTAACTTCAGTCCATTTATAATCATATGTTGATAAATGATGATTATATTTTGGATAAGTTATTGGTAATCGTCCACTTGGATTATAATCACCAAATAAAACGTCAACAAGTGCTCGTCCACTATTGAAAGAAAAAGAAATATATAAATATTTCAATAAAATCTATTTTACATACCCTTCCATACCAGGTAAATACATCATAACAATGGCTGATGATAAATCAACAATACGACGAATAATTCTTGGACGTCCTTCAGCAAGAACTGTTATAATTGGTACTGATGTACGACTTTTAATTAGTTCAACTAATTGTAATTGAGCTTCATCTAATGTTAAATCATTGATATTTCCTGGTGTTTCTGTATATGCTTGTTCACCAAGACATACTAATATATAACTAGCTTGTTGAACTGCATTTAATAAAGCATCAGTATTAAGTAATGTATTAAATGTTGAAGCATTATAATAACCAATTTTTGATTCACCTACACGTGCTCGAAATGATCCGAAAATTGTGTTATTTGTTAAATTTCTTGGAAAAATTGCTTCATCAGTTCCTTGCCATGTATATGTCCAACCACCATTTAATGATGTAAGTGTATTTGCTGTTGGACCTGTAATTACCAATTTATTTGTTTCAGTTATTCTGTCTATACTCATAGGTAATAAATTATTATCATTTTTAAGTAAAGTTATTCCTTGACGTGCTGCTTGTCGATTAGTTGCATCATATTCAGGTTTATTAAAAGTACCTACTGCTGAACTATCAGGCCATGCATTGTTACCATCAAATAAACCTTAGGAAAAAAGAACATAAAAAATAGTAAAATAGTTTCAATTATTGTACCTAATGCATATTTAACACGAAGAATACGACGTACAGCATCATCTAAACGTGTTTTTGGTATTGAACCATCTTTTACACATTCAACTGTTAGATTATAAAATGAATAATCAAATGGAACCATACTCATATCAACACCAGCCATAACTGATTGACGAACAGCTTCTTTAGGTGTATCAGCTGTTTGATCACGTGTATGAAGACGTATAATATCTTCCTAGAAAATAAATATTAGTTTTTAATGTATATTTTTATAAAAAACATACCCAATCTGAAACGGTAAATCCATGAAATTGATATGTTTCTTTAAGAATTTCAGTTAATAAATGATAATTTGCATGACCAGGAATACCATTTACTTCGCCAGAATTAATCATGACTGAAACAGCACCGGCACGAACACTTTCTTCAAATGGTGGTAAAAAATATTCAAGCATATGTCGATCATCAATCCATGCTGGTGTTCGATCACGACCTGATAGTGGTAATCCATAACCAACATAATGTTTAAGACAAGCAGCTACAGTTTCACGTGATGTTAAATCATCTCCTTGCATTCCTTCCATATATGCTCGACCCATATCTTTAACAAGTTTAACATCTTCACCAAATGTTTCCCATAAACGTGACCATAATTTTTGACGACTAAATTTTTGTATTAAATAATAATAATCTAAATAGAATATTAAACTTACCCAATATCAACTTGTGGATGAAAACTCCATGTGATTCCAGCTGCACGTGTTTGATGTGCAGATATTTTTCCAAGTTCACGTGCTAATGTTGTATTAAATGTTGCAGCAAGACCAGTTGCTTGTGGAAATAAAACAGAATTTTGAATATAATTAGCACCATGAATTGAATCAATACCATATAAAATTGGAATACTTAAACGACTTTTCTTAGCTTCATCTTGTACTTTTGTTATAATATCTTGCCATTGACTTACTCCATAAGCACCTGTTTCAGCAGCATTTAAAATAGAACCAATTTTATAATCTTGTATTGCTATTCTTAATTTTTCAGGATCAACTTCGATTTCATTCCATGGTTTACTTGGATCTTTTAATATTAAATTAATAGTGATTTGTGTCATTTGACCAGCCTTTTCTTCATCAGTCATTTTAGCTAATAATTCATTTACACGATCATCGAAGCTTGTCAATGATGGTGGTGCTGTAAGAATAATATGAATATTGATGATAAAAATCCATATGAATATAAATGAATTCATCTTGTAAAGTCTAAATGAATTGAAATGAAATTATAATATATTTTACAGTGTATTTATATAACTACATAGTCAGTAAAAGATAAAAAGATTGCAAGGATCATTCATTTTCGTACTATTATCTCAATAGACTCTTATAAACTCTAGTAGGTAGGTTTTCTCTTGTTATAACATCTACTATATGATAAGAGAAAGATATAAACTGAGTATTAGAAGTTATTATTGACAAAAGGAAAAATGTACAAAGAATGATCTTTTCTTTTTTGATATTATAATAATAGTGTCAGTGTGAATATTATTTATTCTTACTTATTGATATATATGATATTTACTTTGTTCTATACACCCGTTTGTTTTCATAAGATAATAAGAAGATTTCTTTGATTTATTAACGAAGAAATCTTCAGAACCTTTAACAATAAGACATAAGAAAAGAGAATATCAAATTTCTACCATTATGTCTTATACAAAAAAATAAAGCTACGTTAAAATATCTAACGGATTTATTCCGTATATATTTTCATAGAATCTTATATATCGATATATGATCAAAGATCTATCAAGTAATATAAATTGATAATAGTCAGAGCTTTAAATCGATAAATGATACTTGATTTTTTTCAAGTAGATATAAAACATGTTTTAGAATTTGCAACAATGATTTTCAACATAGTTGCATTTAAGAACATTTTATCAGGATATAAAAAAAGAACAGACAATTTATTACACTATGATAAGAATA